ATATATACATACAGTATATATATAAGTATTAATCACTGTCTATTTTGAATACCTAGCAGAAAAAGAAAACTTGAAAGTTAACAAGATTGATGCTATATGGAACAAAAATGTGACTGAATCTGGATGTTCTGCTTCAGATACCACAAAGATACCTTCCTCCCAAGGTAACAAGGAAAACTAGTCGTGAAGATGATGTATAGCATCCCAGACAATCCTGCAGACCCTGCTCAAGCACCGTTATATGCTATGTCCTGGAGAGAAGGAAGTGAACTGCCAATACGCTTTTCTGCCATCCTCACCACTCTCTGCATTGCCTTCTTGTCTGAAGCAATAATGCTTCCAAACCAGACATGATGCTCTCAACCGTCTCTCTATAGAAAGTGGAAAGGACAGGGAAAGAAAATGTACATCAGGTGACCCGCAGATGAATCCCACTCAGAGGTGTGTAGCTGTGCCTATTTCGTTCTGAAATCAACAATGATCTTTAGTTTTTCTTACGTTTAAAACCAGGCTGCTTTTAATATACCAGTTTACCAAACCCTCTACTTCCTTGCAGTAAGCACCCTCATTGTCATCTTGAATAAGGCCCACTACTGTTGTAATTGTAATTGTAATTGTAATTGAATAAATTTATATGCTGCCCAATCCTGTAGGACTCCGGGCGGCTTACCAAAACAAGACTAAAAGATAAAAAGTTGAAAATAGAAAGAGAGGAAAACAAATTTAAAAGCAATGCACCATACACTCAGTCTTGGTGGGGCCAGACCTCGTTCGTGTGGTCAACAGCCTCAGGCCTGCCGGAATAGCCAGGTTTTAGTGGCTTTTCGGAAGGCCGAGAGAGAGGGAAGGGTCTGGATCTCTACGGGTAGATCTTTCCACAGAGCCAGAGTTGTATCAAATGAAAGGTATTACAGATTTTAAAATATATTATACTATTATCCCACAATAAGCTGGCAATTAAGCTCAGACCAATTTGACTTTACAGATGACTTTATCCCTTCAAATGCCTGGGAGATATGAAATGCTTTAATTTAGTATTGAAATCTAGTAGGCATGTCACAAGGTGAGGCCAAAATTGAAAAGATTCTGTCTCTTTTAAATACTTACCTAATTTTAATTGTAAACAATTTTTGATAATAAACAGATGTTAGGTAAAGTATATAGAGCTGGAAAAGTAAATACTCTCTTGAATCGGACTCTCATGAGCTTAACTCCTAAATTCCTATGGGTTTTATGTAGTTTTTATTTTTCCAACAATATGGAAGTTACTCCTCATTGCATTTTTCTGGGATGCTAAGTCCTCTATCTATTCTACAGTTCTAAGAAATTCTTGGTGATCCAAGCTGATGAAACAATTTCAAGACCAATCTAGACCAACTAAGTGCTATTACCATTTATTCATATTTGGTATCCGGAGTCGGTGATCCTGAGTTATTCAGGTTTTAAAAATCAGCATCTAGATCTTGGAGTAGCCCTGGAAATTGTCAGTTTTTTTGTAGGGCTGCGACCAACCCTCAGAGCCTGAGTACCATAAGATATGTACACACTTTCCTGCCCAAACAAGCATTCATGTGGTTTGATCAAGATGATTATCATTGGTTTACATCTGCCTTTGATGCATGTTAAGAAGCATTAATGTATCTTTGCCGATAGAGCTATGGAATTGTAATAGTCAATCCTTGCAGAGAATGTGAAGATGATGTAAATAGTAATTAAATTGCTACAGCTCCCCTCTCTGCCTAATCACTTTGCATTATTAAATTTGCCCTCTGAAGCTGTCCCTTGGAACTGCCTCTAGGCCCCTGGCTGGATTGAGCTGTTGGATGAATTATTACACAATATCTGAAAGTGAACTCCTTTCCAGGGCAGCCTTACAAAATGCAGTTATTTGTCATCTCTTTCTGGCTAGACTGGTCGCCCATTTCGTATTCAAAGGGTGGGTAGGGGGCGGGGAGGAGATTAGGGGATCCTGGCAACATTGGAAAGAGACGGTTTATGGGAAGCAAGTGGTTCTGCTGAAGCTCAGCAGGGAGAAAATGGAAAGGGGATAAGGCTGAAGGGCTCTGAGGTGATGTCACCCCAGAGCTATACAAAGGAGAGCGGGAAGCTGATTTCCTCAATGGAGATGACATCATCCAGCCAGAGAGGAGTTTCTAGAGTCTTTTATTAATGTGTAACATCAGTTACATGTGCACATACACAGAGAGAGATGGGGGTGGGGGAGAGAGAGATGCATGAATACACATTTTTATAAAGAACAGTGTATAATTTTTTAAAAAAATAATAATAAAATGTTTGACAAATTGGTTATCTTGAAGGAAGGTTTCAACAGGGTTTGGAGCTGATTTTGTGATGCATTCAGGAAGAGTGAAACAAACTCCTGACAGCAATCCTGAGCACGAGATGAAATTTGGATGCTGTAAAGAATGTCAGCCTAAGTCTTATTATGCTCCTTGGGGGCCCTGTTCACTGCTTTCTTTTTTTCATTAGCAATGCTTCTAAATTGGTTCTCTCCTAGCTGGAAATATTCTTGGATCCTATCAAGAAGGGGAAGGAATGTGAAGGTGAAAGGAAAGGAGCTTTCAAAATCCACTGGCATTTTGCTTTTCAAATTACTCTTTTGGCTTCCTTGTCATCCTTTGTACAATGCTGATTATATTGATGCCTTTTGGGGAAAATTATATTCTTCTGGCACATGAAAAGTTAGCAAACGTATCAATGCCTAAACTTTTGCAGATCACAGTTCACAAACCACTTTATAAATATTTTCTGGGTTACAATTGTTCTTTCCTTCAAAAAGGACAAAAAAAATACAATTATTCTTGCTTTTAGCAATGCTGTTTGGTTACCTTTACATATTTGTATCTCTGTGTCTGTTTTTTTCTTAATCTATGACTTTTTTTTTTCAGTTGACCCCATTTCACAATACTCTTAAAAATATGTGCAGGCATTGGCCTTTTACTAAACTTTGCTCCTTTGTTTAGATTCAGTTTAGATTTAGCTTCTGATTCTTTATGCTACTTTGTTGTAGGATTTAATGACATAGCCAGTTTCCTTCTGCTCCCTCTTAAACCAAACAAGGTCAAGGCATAATTACTTTAAGTGTCTTTCTTACACTCCCCTCTTTTTCTCAAAACAAAATTGTCTTTAATTTTGCTTCAACTTTTCCTTCCAATTCTTCTTTCAAGGTTATCGCTGTAGTTTTCTTCATGGACACTTCTGCATGAACTTCAACTTACAAAATTTCCCAGCCAGCATCTTAAATCTGCTGAGCTTGTGAAATGCTGGTCTACATTTATTTTTTTTTAAAAAGAGTAGAGCCTCCAAAACCATTCAGACACATTGATTAGGAAATTACCCTGCAGGAAAGGAAGTCTATATGTCCAGATAGGGTTTATTTACACAGCTTCTTTTTTCCTGTATATGAAATGATTGTGTGACCACTGAACACTGCATGACCACTTGACTATTTCAGGAAGTGCTGTATTGTGTTAAAAAGTTCTATAAATGGTGTCTTCTGCAGTACATGAAGTAAATTCAGTGTAAGAGAGAGAGATTTCATGAATTTAAATACAAATAATTTCTGCCACAAAATACACTTTCCTCTTTTATTCCCCTTTTCATTTTATCACAATCAGATAAAATTGGTTTAAAAAAAGCAAGCTATTTTAAAAATTGGTATAGGATTAATGTACTATAGCAGTGATGGTAAACTTTTTCAGCACTGAATGCCCAAGCCGGAATGCTAGAAACCCAAAACCCATTGCCTGGTGTGCACATGGCTGTTGTTCTTTTTTAATCGTTTTTGACTGATTTTCAGGCTGTTTTCAGGCCATTTTCTGGCGCTCCACCATCCACAAAGACCAGCTGGCCAGCACGCATGTGTGCACCAGAACCAAAAGAGCAAATGGCAAGGATGTTTGTGCCCACAGAGGGATCTCTGCGTGCCACCTCTGGCACACATGCCATAGGTTTGCCATCATGGTACTATAAGCAGGAATAGAAAGATAACATGCATTCATTGCCCTTCCCTTAGGAAAGAAATTGCCATTTAAAACCTAGTAGGCAGTATGGGAGCCAGAATAATTTTCAGTTAGAAATGCAACAACAGGGGGAAGATACAAAAGAGGCACTTCAATCTTTCCGATTTTGGGGTAGAAAATGTTAAGTTCATTCACACATTTAACTTGCCGCCTGCTTTGCATACCCTGGAGGGGTTCACATAACTTTAGGCATTTAGCTGCTGGAGCTTTTCTTTTTAGTACAGTATTTTGAAGAGATGGGATAGCCAAGTGGGAAGGCATAGATCCGTGGTGGTGAATCTTTTGGACTCAGTATGTCAAAAATTCAGAAAATCCTTAATTTGACTCTGCTGGTTTGTCAAATCCAGATACTCCAAACAAAAGTGACGCTATTTTGTATCTACCCCTCAACCACCTAGACCACCCTGAACAGTAGACTTAAGAGCAGCGATGCTGTTCCCCAGGATCTGCTTCATTTCACTTATTTGATGCTGTATTCTCTGTTGACAGGCCCATTTGGCCTACCAAAGGCTGTTCTGGGCCTTGGAGTGCCTTCTGAGAATGTTCTTCCATGGTCTCTGCAACCTCTAAAAACTGCAAAAGCATTTCTCCTTTTTGGGTAATTTTTAGGGAGTCCAGAAGTTATGTAAGAACACCCTCCATTTTTGTGTAGCCCCTTCAGTCTGCAAAAATTGTTGAAAAACATGGCGTGTTTTTGAGAACAGTTGCCAGTTGTTGATGAATGCTGGTGTGTCATGCAAAACACTGTTGCATATTATCTTTACCATATCTGTCATAGGTTTGCCATCCCAGTGTTGATGCTTCTCTGATTAGTTTAATATTAGACTTGCTGTAATTTGACATACAGCTTCAAATACATGCGGTATGTATTTGATTTTAAAAGAAGTCAGAGTTTATTTAGAGCAGATGCATCCAATGTTGGTTAGGCCTTTTGAAAACAATAATTTATGCCTTTTTCTAAAGAATACAAAATTGGAAAAGACCATAGAGGTCTTCTAGTCTAACCCCATGCTCAAGCAGGAATCCCTATAATATTTCATAAAAATAGTTGGCCAATCTCTTCTTAAAAACCTCCAGTGTTGGAGCACCCACAACTTTTCCAAATCAGCATGTTGCACAGGGTGCTCTTACTAAAGC